TATATATATATATATATATATATATATATATATATATATATATATATATATATATATATATATATATATATATATAACTCTGCGTCTTCTTGAAGTGTAGACATTATTCATGTTGACAGGCTTTTCTGGTGCCGTGACCCTTAATATCCAGAAGCTATATTAATGCTGAACTTTTGACGTGCCACTTGGACTTTAGTTTTTTAAATTAGGGCTGTCAATAAATTACATTTTTTAACTGGTTTAATTACACCCTTTTTGGGTGATTGATCGTGATTAATTGCACACTTATCATGAAATTAAGCATATACCATTTTTCTTGTTTAACATGTTCATTCATACATGTTCATTTTGTCATTATGTAATATATCCAGCAAAGTAAATCAAAAGACTGATGGGTGATTCTCACAAAACTGTATTTTCTACAAGTTTATTTCAAGATAAATTTAGATGTCTTTTCAAAAAAGTACACCTGGAGACTCCAATAGGACACCAAAGAACCGAGTGATATAAAAAAGTTCATATAATTGATACATTTGTGCACACCTTGTGCTTTAGTAATTTTCATTATTGCATTCAATTATTTTAAGGCTTTAAGGATTTTTTTTTTTATTAATCGCATGCATTAACGCGATAACATCGACAGCCCTATTTTTTATATAGCAAACCCTTCTCTAAATGGGTTCATGCAATCGTTGACTTGCAAGGGTAGACAGGCCTTGTTGACTCAGCGTATGTTGCAAAAAATAAGTCAAATGAATATGAGAAAAACAAACCCAAAAAGGTGATGCTAGGTGTCTGTGATGAATGAGGGAGTCTCATTACTGATGCAGAGGGGGCTTGGCCTCTGCCAACCATCTTTTGACTGCTGCTGTTAAAGGCAGACACACTGACCTGTGTCTCAGTGACCCGACGCTTTGATTTACGGGCCTCCGGACCCACCCCTCTCCGCTGGTAGGGCAGTGACGAGGGGCTGGAGAGAAGACAAAAATTGACTTCAACATCAAATCCAATTAAATTTATTATATTTTTTAAATAATATTTTTTATAAAATTTTAAATAAAAGGACAAAAATGCAAATGCAAAACAATAACACAAATTGTATTTAAAATACAATGGTTGAGATTTTTTTTATGTAACTGCATCTTGTTGAAGTATAGGCATTATTAATGCTTTTCTGGTGCCGTTACCCTTTAAAAATATGAATGACTAAAAATTTATATCATACTGGTTCATACTAGTGGTGTTTTTGTGTACTGTTTTTTTTTTTAGCTTGGCAAACATGCTATACAATAAACAATTAAGTGAAAAAAAGCTGCCTAAAGTTTATTTTAAAAATCTGCTTGTGTTTTTCATATCTGGAATGTCATGAAGGTCAGTTAATAATATTAATAAGAATAATTTTCATTTCTTTGAAGTTACTTCTGCCTTGTGTGAATTCAACATGAAATAAATCTTGTCCATATTTCCTGAAGCAATGTTTTTATTCATATTATTTTTTAATAAGTCTTCATAATCTTTTAGCTAAAATCGAAAACTTTTAGTTTTTCGCTTATGTCATAAATCCCTTTTCCCATTTTATCAACAAGTGTTCATTTTTGTACTGAATGTGACGTCCACTTTTCATGATTCAATAAAATCTCACTAATTCCCTTTTTACTGTTTTATTCAGAAATACATCAGATTACAATTAAACAATTAAAATAGTTTGCAAACTAAATTTAATGTTGATATCAAAAGATCTTGGTGTGCTCCTGTCTCTGACCTTCTCCTGTGGGTGATGTTGATTGGCTGTTCGGCGATGAAAGGTGATTGGTCTGATGACAGAGGGGGAGGAGCCCGAACTTGAAGACCAAAGAGACACTTCTTCTTCTTTATTTCCTTCCCCGAAACAAACCTATTCAACAGATCGAAATCAGATTGGATTGGTATTCAGCTGCTGTTCTTCAGGGCCCACTGACAGATTTTCATTTGTTCCTGGCGTCTCAACACTTGCCAACTAAAACATCCGATTCAGTTATTTAAGTGCTAGCGTACGAGCGGCATCAACCACAAGCCTTGACAGAAAGAAAATGGAAATGGACTTTAAATTATTTATTTTGAAAGACAGATCCACCTTCAGCTATCAAAATACTATTTGCAGAGAGTGAAATCACACACACAGAGTCACTTAGAATGTAAAGCAATTACAGTAATGGTTTTGCAGATATTATTGCAAATATGTGATATATCCTTATGGACTGCCACATGGAAATCAAGCAGAAAGGCAGTTTTCAGAGCATAATCCATGTCTCACCTGTCTTTGTGGGAATTTAAAGCATTGAGCAGGTTTTGGCAACGGTCTTGCCTCGGTGTGTCTGACAGCTGAGAGACCAAAATATAGAGTCGAATGAAAGGCAGCATGTAACAAATGCATTTGAAAGGTAAGAGCTCAGATTGACCACAAACTACAAGAGAGAGTATTCAAAACTACACTCAGGAATACACTCAAGTCAACACGAAATCAAAATTGACCCTATTTACTTCCTTAAAACCTTATGAAACCAGTTTTCTTTCCTGTGTTGAAGTATTTCTTATTGAAAAGCCAGGAACGTATTGAAGTGCTTAATATTAGTCAATATTCTTCACGTCAAAGTCATGAATCATGATTTGCTTCTTACTATGGTTAGTCAAAGGCAGGTGCCATTTATCATTTATGGAGAAAAAAAAAATCCTCATTATAGAAAACGTTTTATTGGACAAAAAGGTGAATTATTTTATTTAATTATCATTTATATTTTTGAATGCGTTTTCAGTTTAACTTATTAAGGTTTTAGTAATGTTTGTTATTTTTTAATATCTAGATTTAGTTTTAATTTATTTTTATTTCAGTTTCAGAAATTTTAGTACTTAATTTTTAGTTTTTAGTTTTTATTTAGTTTTTTTAAAGTTTACATTTTCCATCTAATATTAATATTTATTTGATCTCAGCTTCATTTCAGTGAACAAAAACATTTTGTTTTTACATTATATGTATATATATACACACATGCAGTATATACTTTAAACACACACATACAAATATATGTATATAATTTTATAAAATGTTTAAGTAATTTATCTCATTCTTCATTTTCTTTTAAGTTTTAGTTGACAGTAACAATACTAATATGTATACACTATATACAGTATGTATATATATATATATATACACACACACACACACACACAACCAATTTCTGGTAGATATCCTGTTTCATTCATAAATATGCCAAATAACAAAAGTAAAATGGGTTGCATTTGGTGTTTCATGTTGACTTTAAATTGAACTGTGCCTGTGCTATTGACTAGTATATTTTCCTACCGTGCCAAGAAGCAAAGATTCCCAATTTTCATTGGCAAAAGACATGATTTCATGATCAAAATCAAAATACTTCCTCTTGCAGCACAGGGAGAGATGATACAGCACCAAATGGGCCAAATCTACCCTGCAATCCAACAGAATGCGGATCATCAGAAACGACATTCAGCTCTTCAGATCAGTTCTGCAGTCCGGCAAACAGAACAGAAGCAACACTCTTACCAGGTCATTGGAAGCCTCTGGATGGTCTCTGGACCATTTGTGCACACTGAGCACTGGAACTGATAAAAACTGAAAGGTGAAGAGGAGACACAGATGAAAAGGTTTAGACAGAATTAGCTTAGCAACAGCATGTGCTTAACAACGGCATCAGCCTCACCGGTCTCCATAGAGAAGAGGTTTGGTCAGGCACTGAGTGCAAGCTTCATGAAACCACTGCCCACAACTCCCACACTGCAACATCTTCAGATTCCACCTGACAAAAACAACATGCTTCAATTTAGACACACTCACTCCTGAAAAAACATCACTCAACTAAAATTAAGGCATAATTTTTCAAATTCACTCTGAACTAAAATGAAGACATAATTGTTACAATTGTTAGCTGGGCAATTCCTTTTTAAAGAATCTACTTAATACATTTCCTGCATATACCGTACAATTCATATATATATATATATACATTTTATTTAAATAATATTATTATCATTATATTTTTTTGTTTAACTTAAAACTATAACTAAATAAAACTATAATTGAACTAAAAATTATTAAATAATCATCTAGACATATTAAAACACACACACATACACACACACACACAGAAATAAAAGTGACAAAACACAAAATGGAAAATATAATAATACAATAAATTGAAAAATTCAACATTCCACAAAATGGAAAATATAATACAATAAAATGAAAAATATGAAAATAAAAATGAGTTCAAAATATTAAAGGAATAGTTGATCTAAATTTTTTAATTTGCTGAAAATGTACTCACCCTGAGGCTATCATGTTTGGAGAAATTTAGCATTCCATCACTTGCTCACCAACGGATCCTCTGCAGTGAATGGGTGCCGTCAGAATGAGAGTCCAAACAGCTGATAAAAACATCACAAGTGATCCACACCACTCCAGTCCATCAGTTAATGTCTTGTGAAGTGAAAAGTTGTGTGTTTGTAAGAAACAAATCCATCATTAAGCTGTTTTAACTTTAAACCGTTACTTCTGACTAAAATACCAGTCTACAATCCATAATAACGCTTCCTCCAGTGAAATGAGGAAAAAAAAATAACTTAAATGATTTTAGCAAATGGCTGCAATATAACAAAGAGTGAAAAATTTAAGGGGGTCTGAATACTTTCCGTACCCACTGTATCTGTGCTTGATTTTCCATATGTCTTTCCTTATTCAGACCAGAAGACTTTTTTTTAACTGGAGAAAGCAATATTTTTTAATTTGCTGAAAATGTACTCACCCTGAGGCTATCATGTTTGGAGAAATTTAGCATTCCATCACTTGCTCACCAACGGATCCTCTGCAGTGAATGGGTGCCGTCAGAATGAGAGTCCAAACAGCTGATAAAAACATCACAAGTGATCCACACCACTCCAGTCCATCAGTTAATGTCTTGTGAAGTGAAAAGTTGTGTGTTTGTAAGAAACAAATCCATCATTAAGCTGTTTTAACTTTAAACCGTTACTTCTGACTAAAATACCAGTCTACAATCCATAATAACGCTTCCTCCAGTGAAAAGTTCATCTCCTGTTGTTCTCTCACATCAAAATCCACTGACATGTTTGTTTAAAACTGCTTTGGATTGTTTTTGCTTGTAAACGTGTATATCTGTGCTTGATTTTCCATATGTCTTTCCTTATTCAGACCAGAAGACTTTTTTTTTTAACTGGAGAAAGCAATATTATGGATATGGGACTCATATTTTTGCCAAAAAGAAATGGTTTAAAGTTGAAAACTTCTTAATGATGAATTTGTTTCTTACAAACAGACAGCTTTTCACTTCACAAGACATTAACTGATGGACTGGAGTGGTGTGGATTACTTGTGAATTGTTGTGATGTTTTTATCAGCTGTTTGGACTCTCATTCTGACGGCACCCATTCACTGCAGAGGATCCATTGGTGAGCGAGTGATGCAATGCTACATTTCTCAAAATCTGTTCTGATGAAGAACTATAACTTAAACTGAAATGTTGCATACTGCATACTGTTTCACACACTACTTTTCCAAATAGTAGACCAAATCAGTACAGCCTATATCGCACATTGTGCCATCGCAGTACTCTAATATTCCATTCTAAATACCGTCATAGTCATGTGAGAATGATATAAGTTGGACTCACTCTCCTGGTCCGGCACAATAGCAGTAACACTGCTGCTGGTTGGTCAAGTGCTGAGGGTCCCAGTCTAAAGATGACAGCTGATAGGGCAGTCGCACTTTCATGATCTGCATGAGCCGTGCGAAACGTCCTCTTTTTAACGCTCCCCCTCTCTAGGACAGAACACAGTTTGTCATTCCAATGTATCTCACCTCTCTGTGACACGTGATCTCCTGTCATGTAAGCAGATTTAACAGCGATTTCATCTGAAGATTGAATTTGAAGAAGACACGCTGAAGGAAGTCATTAATATTTCCTGCTGGGGGGTTGGTGAATATGATTTTATCTTCAAATCAGCATGTAAGGCCTGTGAAACGAGCGTGCTGACAGACAGATTAAAGCACAGGCCCATTTAATGCAGCTCTACCACCGCCATCACCTGCAGAGTGCTGCAATGTAATAAATACGCAGTCAAGTGCAGGAAGCCATGGACACCCTTTACATCTCAGAGCAAGATTAAAGCTCGTGTGTGATTTGAAATAGACCTTGAATGACATGAATGAGGTACAACCTTTGTTGCGACTGCGAAGACACATTGGCGACATATCCAGCTGTTGGGGTCAACTTCAGGTTCAATGGGTGGTGTGTGGCACTCTGGATGATAACCTGGGGAAACAATGGATCAAGAAAACAATGCAATGCGAGTAACACATTACTTGATACACAAAGACTAAAATAACTGTGTAAGACAAATGGAAGAAATCGAAACCATTTTCATTTGTCATATTACCATGGCGACATTTGAGGCAGTTTACAAGAGGTTCTTTAAGAGGTGGAGCATCACAGATACAGCACACCTTCTCTCCACCTGAAGAGACTGACCACAAGAAACAAAAAACTTAATAATTTACTGTACAGACAACAACTAGATGTTTCATTATCTAGTATACGTCAACATTTTATTTTGGTATTTACTTAAGACTAATAATTAGCAAAAAAAATAATAATAATGTAATACATAGTTTCTCATTTTCAGCTTTTAAAAAACAAATACAATTTTAAAGTGCCCCTATTATGGATTTTTGAAAATTACCTTTCATGCAGTGTGTAACACAGCTCTAAGTGAATGAAAACATCCTGCAAAGTTTTAAATCTGAAAGTGCACCGTGTATAAAGTTATTGTCTCTCAAAAGAAAGAGTCGACTCTGAATCATTGAAACGAGTCGTTTTCAAAACGAATCCCAAGCCGTTTCATGTTGACGTCAAAATTAAACATTAGCATGTTGCCCGCTCACTTGTTGGTCTTTTCGCATTGGTCTGAATGAAAATGCTAATTCATTCTTTGCCACTAGGTGCCGCTTTTGGACCGTAAAAATAGCTGTTTCCCCGGTAACGCTGTACACAAAGCAGCACTGCGCTCACAAACGCTGCTTTATCAGGAATTACACGCATGATGAAATGAAAGTGAGACCAATCGGACCAATCACCGCAGATTAGCGTCACGCAAAGGAGGGGTTTGGAATGAATCATTAAACGAATCGTTTGGGAGTCGTTGAGCAAGTAAGGTAAAAAATAAATGCATTTTATAAGACAATGAAAGTGTGTGCATGCATGTCAACCTGTTGTTGGGGACTCCCAAAACCAAAATATGAACCTTTCATAACCCATAATAGGGGCACTTTAATGTAAAAGTGATGTGTGCCCTTTTTTAGATGTTAAAAAAGCATCCCAACCAGCCTGAGACAATCAAGCTGGCTCAACCAATAATGTGAGTTTGGGGTGGGACCCTGTTTGATCAACCAATGGCAGCGTGGCATTAAGAAAACCTGTTTAAAAACAGTTATTTTTTGTAATTTATTCTTCCATTTGCAGACATAAGTGGCGCAATGGACACAAACAAATATTTTTTCAGAATAAATTTATAGTGACAAAGTAGTAAATAACTAACTTCAATAAATAACTTCAGTTTATTGTAAATATTTTGTAAATTGCTCCTAATTCTTTAGGGCATAATTCTGGTGTTAATTCTAGAGTTTCTAGAGTTTAATATAATAAAAACCTGTCTAGAACATGTCTGGGGCATATGTAACCCCACACAAAAAGAAACATTTAAGAAATTATATAAAAAATAATTATTAAAAATATTTTTTTTTGCATATTTTGCCTCCAATATCTCATTACTGTAATCTAAAAAGAAATCTAATTCTCATTACTATAATGAAAAATAAATAAATTATATATTATAGTATTTCAATCCATCATGGCAGTGTTTGTTGTTATCTTTAATTTAAGTTGAATCACCATTGAGAAATCTGAGAAAATTACTCTCTCTCTCTCTCTCTCTCTCTCTATATATAATATATATATATAATAATGCATAATAATATATAACATATAACAAAATAATAGTCCTAAAAAAGGCTTCATTTTCTTTTATTTTGGATGTATTCACTTACTTTTTGAGTTTGAATCTAAAGTTTATTCACTTACACGAGTGGATGTCTTTCCTGAGGACCCAGAATTCAGAGTTATCCTCAAATCTAACCAAACAGCACTGCTTGATGCTGTCCACCTGCCAAATAAATACAGGCAAACATCACAAACAACACTACACTGATTTACAGGAATACAAGTCACATAGTTTCAAACTCGCTCTTTCTGTCTCTCTGCAAGTGTCCTTTTCTCTCTTCCAAACTAACTTAGGCAAACAGCAAACTTACTCGTTTGACATTGCCAAGGTACAGAAGTCCATCACTCCACCTGGCTAAAACATCCTCTCCTTCACTAACTCCCCCCATCCTGGAGAGCGCGGGAAAGAAAAGTGCAAAAAAAGATCCAGGGGCATTAAAATGTGTTTCCACACCACAGCAGCAAACAGCAGCAGCCTAAAGGGTTAAACTCTGTGCATAGCGACAATATACAGTACAGAAGGATAAATGATGAAGAGTCAATGCACATTGCAGTGCCACACATGATCAAAAACACTGGCTGCCTTATGCAACGGACCATATTATATGCAGATGACACAACAATGCATGAAAGAGCGCGCAATTGATTGCATGCAAAACGCATGCCCTAATCAATGCACCTAACTCAGAAGAGCTGACACACATGATGGCACGCGCACGCACATATCAATTAACACGCATGACAGATCATACGTGGACGGGATGTACCTGTGTTAAGTGTTCTGCTCTGCTGGGGTCACAGAGACGGGGAAGAGATGTCAGTCTCACATGAAACGCCTGATGCCCGGTGTTGTTCTGCGTCTCAATCACTGTCCCGAATAATCGGCGCGTTTGGAGAGTCGCGGCGGATCAAACGCGCGTCACTCAAGCCGTCAGTGCGCAACCGTCTGTCCGTCTCTCTCTCTGTCTGTCTTCTGCTTCATGTTCCCAGCCTCCCTCTGTCTCTCGGTTGCTGCTATCATGCGTGTTCGGCAGGGAAGCGGCATGAGAATCAGCCCGAGAGAGACGCCATCATCATCTCTGCCTCGCTCTCCTTCGACTTGTTGTGACGCAGACATAAAACACAGGGAGATGGAGAGGGAGGGAGATCCGGAGAACACCTTCACATCTGTACGACTGACCGACATCCCACCTGCGCCCGACCCCACAGGCGCTCGGCCGGTGCCGCACACTCACGGCGGCTCATTAGGGAAAGTTTGGGGCTGTAATTAGTCCAGCAGGGCCGCGCCGTGGACTTTTTGGAGAAAGTTTGGAAATGCCCTTGGGTACCGGCAAAAATCTGGCAACGCTGTTACGCGCCCTATTCCGCGAAAAACAAACAGGAAAATTGATTTTCTTGAAAAAAATATTTGAACCTGCGAAAGAAAAAACACAATGTTAACCGGTATGAGGGTAGATAATCATAAATCAACGTAGTGAGGGCAAATAGTAATACACATACAATACAAAAACACTTATTTTACACTATATATTTATTTACAATTAATTTTATAAGATGAAATGCTTTGCATTAATATTTTGCATTTTTTAAATAAATAAAATTATGTATTTGTTGAAAAACATGTTTTTCATTTGTTTGAACATGAAAAACACTTATTGTGCACAATATCTACAAAATATAACAATATATATATATATATATATAGTTATATTTTGTAGATATTGTGCACAATAAGTGTTTTTCATGTTCAAACAAATGAAAAACATGTTTTTCAACAAATACATAATTTTATTTATACATATATATATATATAACAAAAAAATATATATATAATGATTATTATTAGTTATTTTGCTGTAGTATATTACATCAATTAAATATTATATATATATATATGAAGTCAGGGTGTCCGATAAATGTGCTTCAGCATTTTTTTATATAAAATGTATAATATTATTATTATTATTATTATTATTATAGGTAAAATATACGAGAACAATTTTGACTTTTTATACTATTGAAGACACATGTGTTAACCAAAAGGTAATATAATCGTATTTCATGTCACAACACATGGCCTACTAGTAACAAAAGCAGATGAGGTAGCTCAAAACGAACCAAATTCATGATTCACCGTATATCAAACACATTGTGATGACAGTAGTGCAGGAATGTTCAAAATGGCCTCTGGCGTGTCTTTTGTAAAGCAGTGTTTGGATGGTCCAGCAGAGGGCGCAACACACAAAGATGCAATGTGCAACTAGAGACTGGCTTTATTCCTTTACCAAATTACAACTCAACAAAGGCTGCATTTTAGATTCTTTCTAACACAGTGATTCTTCACACAAACTTGAAAGTGAAACACACATTTTATATAATATGTTTCCAAGCCATTTAAAGAGCAAACCTAAAGAGCTTGACAAGGGTGATACATTATTCATAAGCACCCAACCGCTATTTTAATTAGTCCACTCCAACGAATTGAATGCATAGCTCGCGTTACTTGTATGCTTTTATTCACCATAACAACCTTTTAATAAACACAGAAATCTCCCTCAGACATATTATTCCAGCTAGACGCAGAGCCCTTGCATAATAATAGCTTCTAATTTCATAACAGATGGAAAGTGTCCTGACAAACAAAAGGTCACAATATGGCTTCTTGTGCATATACTGCTTTGCTTTCAAATGGAAAATTATGAGCCTATACATAAAAACATAATGTAATACCTTTTGTAATAGTCAGACATTTATTATGGATAAACAAAACATTCAACTGCTTAAACCTAATTCTAGTTTTTCCAACCCCCCCTTGGGTTGCTAATTTATGCCATATGTGGTGTGCTATGATTGGTAATACATGATAATAGATCATTGTATGATATGTATTTGGTGACTAAAGCAATTTATCATTTTCCATGGCACAGTAAGCATGCAATTTTCTGTCCTTATTTTTGTTGTTAAAGGTCTTTGCAATTGCAAAGGTCGGAGTGGTGGAGTCCACAGCTGGCCTTCTCCGCTCAAGGATTAGCTTTATATAATCACCCTGCTAGGAACCGCCCAGCCATTCAAAATCATAATTCATTTACATCAAAAACTTCAACACCACCGGCCACTTAAAATGCAGGCTGTGAAACAACACCAGGTAATAAAATACAACCTTGACAATGTGTGAGTGTTCACTCACACACACACACACACACACACACACACACACACACACACAGTCTGGTCAGCTATCCTTGTGGGGACTCTCCATAGGCGTAATGGTTTTTATACTGTACAGACCATATGTTCTATTGCCCTACACCTAAACCTACCCCTTACAGGAAACTTTCTGCATTTTTAGATTTTCAAAAAATTTAATTCTGTATGATTTATAACCTTTTGTACCCGTGGGAACCACAGTTTAGGTCCCCACCGTGACACGTGTCCCCATGAGTCTGTGTGTATTCAGGTTTAAGTCCCCACCAGGATATATAAACCAGTACACACACACACACACACACACACGCACGCAGCTAAATGGAACTTCTTATTGACATACTGTTCATAAATAAAGCTAATAGTTATAAATGGGTAGGGTAGTTGACACAAAACAAGATTTTAGGTTAAAATGTATATGCATGTATAAGAGTGAGGCTTTTTTTTCATAATATATGCATATTTGCATAATAAATAATGATACAATAAATACATAAATAAATACATAAGTAAATAGAAAAACATTGATCAAAATAAAAAATAATAAAATAAAAATAAAAATTGCAAAAAAATATTCAGATGAATGGGGGCTAGAGCAATATAAAATTAGATAATAAACTAAAATAAAACTAACTACAAAAAAATAAATTATATTTAACTTTTTTTTTCAGATGGATGAAGGAAAAAGTGGATAATAACATGAATGATATATAAGAAATATAATTATTTTATGTCAGATAAATTAAGGGAAATAATGTAGCTGGAATAGCAGCAAAATAAAATAAAAAATAGTAGCTAACTGCAAAAGTAATAAATTATATCTAAAAAAAGTAACATTATTTTATTGCAGATGGTAAAAGTAAATTTGATGAATGAGGAAACTAAAGTGACTGGAGTAGCAGCAAAATACAATAAAATTAAATAAAAAATGGTAACTGCAAAAAAATATATAAAAAAATAACATTCTTTTATTTCAGATTAATGAGGGAAATAAAGTGGCTGGAGTAAAATAAAGAGTAACTGCAAGAATAATAAATGATTTCTAAAACATTATTTTATTAGAGATGGGGGAAAAGTGGCTATAGCAGTGCAACAAACAAGCAAATAAACAAACAAAGTTGAGTGGCTATGCATTGCGTAAACATAGGATGTCCGCGTTGCTTCGGGCGCTTCCAGTACAGACAGCTTCGTTTACTTTTTATTAGAGCAATCTTGTTATGTCGAGACGCGTCCGGTGTTTTTGCCAGCAACGCTGCTTCTCTGAATTTACCGGGCAGCGCTCCTCATCAGCGCGTCCGGCCAATGACCAGACGCGCTGGAGTGACAGCAGGAACTGCGCCCAACGCGCCGCCCGCGCCTCACCAGCGCAGATCTCACCAACACAGCCAGCTCGCCGCCTTCATCGGGCCGATAAGCATTGACTGGCGAAGCAGGAGGGGAGAGATATGGAGGAACAGAAACTCTGACTTCCGAGGAACCCACACGCAGGCGCGGATGGACGCGATATTGGTCTCCTAACAGGTATTTCTGCGTTAAGGTTTGGTGTGAATGAACGCGAATGTTCGTCTTCTTATGTGAGACGTGAAGAGAGGATATGTCATATATAAGCAAACTGTAAGTTCATAGAGAAAAGTTCTTAATAAAAGCATTCGCGTCCTGTGCGTAACGTAGCTATTTTGATATCGCTTGGAATTAACATTATATGAAATTTTGACACGTTCCAGGGTTGGGGTTAGATGAAAGGGAGCTTTATTTTCCTGTAAGGCTTGCCCTAATTCACTCTTGTTTTGCACACTAATAAATGTTTATCCCTGAGACCGCATTCAGAAGAGTTGTAATGTGAACTATGATGTTCATGAACTTACACTTGTTTCAAAGATCTTGGTTATTGCTGTTTGTGACAATGGCACTGAGTTCTAATGGTGAGCTGCTCTCTTTCCATCCTTCTTTTCCTGAAAGAGATCTCTATCTGTAGTCTAAAATAAATACCAGTGAGTAAAAGGCGAAGGAGGGGCCTGAATTCAAATTCAAAGTTGTCTCTAGGCAAAGGGAAATGTAAATGATGAAAACAAATGATCTACCAGGCATACAGCTGCCTGTTCCTCTCCAATGACCTCTCTTTTGTTTGTTTTTTTGGGGCCAGCAGCCCCATCATGCTCCCCCGAAGTATGAAAACATCTGGAGTAGAGCTGCCGGGAGTGGGACAGAGAGAGGTGCCCCTCACTGGATATAGACCCCTACAGCCAGAGGTCAACAGCCCTGCGGATCAGCTGTGGAAGGAGAATGAGAACAAGGAGGCTGATCACACACAGGCAAGAGGACGATGACATCATGATTTACTCCTGATTTCAAAAACGTTTTGTCTGTGAAAGTAATTCATCTTTTTATCCAGCATCAAAGTAATCAATAGTGACAGTAAATACATTTATAATGTTGCATAATATCTGTAAAATCATAAAAAATCCTGAGAAAAGTATCACCGTTTCCACAATAATATAAAACAGCACAACTGATTTACACTATTACTATTTTTACTGTATGTTTAATCAAATAAATGCAGCCTTGATGAGCAGAAGAGACTTCTTTCAAAAATATAAAAAAATCTTACCGACCATACAGTTTTCAGTGTATTTTCCCACTTTTTCTAACCACTAACCATATAAAATTAGTTGTTCTTAAAAATCCACAAGATGTCAAAATTCAATAAATGTAGGAGCAAAATAAAACAATAAAATAAAATAAACAAAATAAAATAAAATAGGGGTCATTATTTATAATTATTATAGTTATTTATTATAGGGTTAATATTGTTAACGAAAACTAAAAAAAAAATCCATTACTTGAAATGAAAACTAACTAAAAAATAAAATATAAAAAGCAAACTTATTTTATTTCAGATAGTTGCCAAGGCAGCACTTCTCATTTTCATTTAAAGTTAAAGAACTAAAATGACTAAAACAAAATAAATTAAAATTATAATATA